CCCACACCCACACCCAAAAATTAATGAATTATTTTCAGGGCATGGCAGGGCACAGGGCAGGGCAGGGCAAAAAAAAACTACCCTATGACGGTCTCTGTGTTGTACCAATAACATTTATGTTACAGCACAATGGCGATTATCTCAACACTAATGTTCAGTTTTCAAACATTCTTGTTAGATGAGCTTCACATGACAATCAGTAGACTCAACGTATTTCAATATGTTTGAACATATTTTCACTAATCTTTGCTGAAGACAATATTAGTTTTGCATATTTCCAACATTCGTTTAATCAAATAAAAGTACAATATAATTGGTTTAATACGATGATATACCGAAGAGTCAATCTTCAATCGAGACAACCAAAATTTCTCATTTCTGTATCTGGTAATGAAAAAAAATCAGATATACCGAAATAATAATGAATTATAATGATAGTTGCATAAGAAGAATCATGCACAAATTAAGAGAGTGATTTATCATGAGTATCCTAAACTGTATAAGCTTCATCGTGTAGTCAAACACGAATTGTTAACAGACCTATAGTTTTGATTTGTTTATTAGATCAGTTCAATAATAATAATCATATATCTGCATTCACTTGGCTTGAAAAGATAAGCCTCGTTAGGATTGTTAATAATCTATTAAGGCATATCATTTGAGCATATATTCAAACAAAAAGTGATGTTTCAATTGAAGACATTTCCTCATCAGCAGTTCACAATAAATGTTTTTAAAACACATCTTTACTAGCAAATCTTCAGTCTCTATACATGTCTATTCAAACAATGATCATCTACACATGTAAAATCTAGACGCCATTGGAAACTACTCATTTTTTTATTTATACTTGAGTTTTATTCTGCTACATTTCAATATCAACTTCGATTTTTATATATGTGAGGCAATGAATCTCTATTTCACATTTCAAAATAATCACTACCATACTTCTGATTTGTAAAAATTAATTATAAGCTTAACTTTAAAAACCTTGAATAGTTATTTCAAAAGATGAAATTGTTCGTTCAATGGTTAATCAATTTCCTCATCTTATCATATAATCAGTTACATATACAAAAAAAAACGAAAATAAATATCACGTAAGAAAAAAAAAACAGTAACAAAAAAAATCACAAATAGAAAACAAAATACAAGCAAATGCATGGTCATATTTGACCAGAAGATAATTAACATAAAGAAGACAAAAACAAACTATATACAATAGAAAATGAATGTTTTTATGCAAACCACATTGTATTTTCAATCGATGGATTAAAATCGATTTTTGTTGTTTGTACATCATCTAAAGTGACGATTACATTTTCATCCAACGATGCTTCTTCAAAATCCGAACTAAAATAAAAAGAATTTTCTTTTTTTTTTCTTCTATCATATTTTAAATATTAAAACTTACGTAGCAATACTTCGTTATTCATTTGCCATTTGTCCTTCATAATCAAGATTAAGACCACGTGAAACACAAAGTGTTGCATAATGAACAGGTGCAGGAACAGATACAGATTTTGTACATCGTACATCAGTATGAAATAAATAATACCTATTTATATAAAAGACAATTTGTTTCTTTTTGCTTTTTTTGAAATATATAAATATAAATTGTTACGTTAATTGTTGAATATCATCTGATGTAAAACCAATTTCATCATATAAAACTTGAAAAGTGCTGGTTTTGATGTACCTTGTATAGCAGCATGAGAATTAAGATAAAAATCAAAACCATTTGGTGAAACAATATCAGTATCAATAGCTGTTCCTAAAATTAATAAGACAAAATAACAAAAAAACATAAAAAAATAATCAATTATTTCTTTTAACCTGGTTGAAGATTATTTGTTTGATTTGATTTTTTATCTCAAACAAAAAAACGAGTATTGTGATGTTTTTTAACAATAATAAAACAAATTTGAGGTAGTAATTGATTATGACCATATAATTCTACAAAAAAGAAAATAAAAAAAATTTTATTTTATTTTATTTTCATATTAAACAATATTTTAATATGAAAAAAACAAAATTACCTTTACATGCTCGTTGAATAGCTCGTAATTCATTATCAAGTACTTTTTGAAATGATCCATCATCAACACCAGCTCGATAAAAAACAAGTTTATTTGGTAAACGTGAATTATGATTAGAAAATTCACATAATAATTCACCAACAAGTATATGAAGATCTTTAACTATTTCAAGAGCTATTTTTCCTTTTGGTGAAAATTGTTGTACAACACGACCAGCACATTGTGTACTTATGAAAATAAATATTAGGTTTTCAAATAATAAGTCAACAAACAAACAAACAAAAAAAAGAAAAATAAGAAACTACACACTTGTTGAATCTTTTGATCCAATAATAGCAGCAATCGATGGTCGTTCACGTGAGCATGTTATATGTGTACAATCAATACCAAAAAACATAAATATATCTGAACGAGCTGATGGTGATGCTAATGCACGCATTAATGATACAAATTGATTAACACCACCTAATTTTGCATTAAATTTTTTTACCAAATTCTTTTCAAAAATAATTTATTTAAATTAATCAAAAAAAAAACAAAACATATCAGATCACATACTTGAATATACATATCCATTTTACGATTATCACTATTTGACATAAGTCGATCAAAACGTGTACATTGAGTTACCATACCTTAAGAAAAAGCAATTATTTTTAATATTAATTATTGAACTAATTTAATCAGAATCTCAAAACTTAACAATCGAAACAACTTTAGAATTTGTTCAACAAAACAAGTAACGCTCGTCGCTTCGACTCGCTTAGCCCTCGACTGAACAGGATATCATATTCAATTTTTCACAGACGATATAGCAATAGAAGTTCACAAAAATTATACGAAAACGCAGAGTACTTTTTGAAAATTCTACTAGAAATTTGTACACATTCTAGAACATTCCTCGATAATGCTGTTGACTATAGAGTTCTCTAGGAAAATAGAAGTTCTGTGGAACCCCTAGCCGAAAATAAAACATATTATATCTGATCTCTAATCGAAATCTGATATATACAACAAGCTCTTATTCAAAGTAGTGATAAGACTAGACAGGTAATTTGAATATATCAATGTACATTCAGATACTTGAATTAATACAAACAAAAACCATATTCCAAAAGAAACATTCTTTTATTTCATCCATGTTCACTACCGATGCAGCGAATATAAATTCTTTCAGTAATACTTTTATTCTGACGAACTATTCAGTTATTTTGTCGAAACATAAAAACCGGTTCTCATCCTTGACTTGACATAGTTTTTTCAACTTTTTGTATCTGATATTCCTTATTCAAACCCATTTGACTTCGACTATTGACTTTTATTCAATGAATCCCAACACTTCGAAGCGGCACTTCTGGAGATAACCCAGTGCAGCAGCTAGCCGCGAGTGGCACCCCGAAGGGGCGCCGATGAGTGACTAATTGCTGCCAGGTCTACTTCCATCTTTTCACAACACTATCCCTCTGTATTTTAAATTCACCTGGTCCAGAATTTACTATTTCAAAACTTCGTTAGTCTAAAGCGTTAGAATTATCGATAGGAATTTTCAAACAAAAGTTTTCTCATGAATTATTTCTCATTTCCGCAATTTGATTGTAGAACTGAGAAACCAGAATATTCTTTGAGGTTCTCATTAAGGAAATCTTAGTGACTATTCTTCAAAATGCCTAACCGATACAAAGATCTTTAGTGAGATCAGTCTGTAGTATGCTTGCAATGTTAACGATTAACAGTTCATTAGTGCCCCTTTGGGGTACCAGCCACGGCTAAGTCCTCCTTTTACATAAGTGCACTTGAACGACAGTCTCTTATTGTCCATGTAATACAACAGCTACGATATCATTCACATATGCCTTTTCAAAACTATTTTCTTTGAATAACAGTAGCTAGACATTGCACATATCAGAATTCCCGAAAACATACCAGGATAAAAGCATCACTTTTCATAATAGTAATTATAGCATATGACAAATTAATGCCAGGTCTCAATGTTAGACCCATGCCTATCCATGTATATATTTCCGCAGATGATAGATTTAAAAACACGAAAGAACCTTTCTTATAAGTATCAAACACGACCAAATTCAATAGCTTATTCACTCTTATCGCGTACATTTAACTAATAAATAGTCAAAAACCATTCCATAGTAACTACAAATGACTCTCTTAATTGATAAATATTTTCATAAGACGAAAACAAACATACAATTTCCAATTATTCTCTTCTTTTTCATACATTTATGCAAAACTGAAAAAGACATATACTGTTTTAGCTGATCATCTACTTCAGCAAATGCATATTCTAAATCCACAAAAAAATATACGAACCGAAAAACTAATTCTTTTCCTTTCAAGTTCGTTTTCGATGCAGTGAATTTAACTGTTTTAATGATGTTTTCCATCCATACATTGTCACTATATTCTATTCTTCGAGAAAAACTGGTCTTAGGATGCATACAAAAATATTTCTCCTTTTTTATCATTTTGAGTCCGTTTTGAAACTCATCAGATCTAACCCCTTCACATTCTCTTGTTAAATCTTTTTAATTTAACGCCCTTCAAAAAGCAACTGTCGAGTGCACCAACTAGTCGCTAATCGGCGCCCCTCTGGGGCGCCACTCGCGACTAGCTGCTGCAACCTCTGATCTTCTTCTCTCATAAGATAGTTCTTTTCACTTAAACCCTGTTAAATGACAGATTGCTCTTACTTAGAATATTAGATTTATAACACCATCGCTCCACATGAGCAGCTCCGGACCAACAGTTTCCTGTTATTTATTCCTAATTTCTTTAACCCAATGGTTTAGCCAATACGATAAAATTTTATTAGGGCTTCTGGTTTGGAGAATCTTAGTTGATCATTCTTGATAAATGCAGGTTTCATGTAGATCTTTTGCTAAACAACATTAGAATACGTTCGCAATTTTAGCGACCACTAGTTCGCCAACACTTCTCTCAGGCCTTGCTCATAGTCCCTTGTTGCATTCTTGGAATAAATTAAAACAATCATTGGTTATTCAGCATTTATCCTACAGGCCGTAACTTCATTTACAGGATTCTTTTAATGCTACTTCTCTCGACTTAAGCAGAGTGCACTCAAAAAAGGCCACTTAACTCACAAACCACTATGAATAATCATGAATCCCACAATGTTGCACACATTAGACTGAGTGCCAATGGTTTGTAAACACTGTTTCATCACACTACGACTTACTGAAACACTCAACCCATTAGATCACACTCTGATTCATGTCTACAACGATACTATGCAGAGGCTACCGAAACTGAACAGCAATTACAAACTCCAAATACGCAGAAGGATTGTCCATATTTCGGGTGTCCATTTTTTCAAATGCCTTTTGCTTTAAAAAAATTGACTTTTTCCTTAGACAA